TACCATAGCCTGACAGATGGATTCCTGGTACCGCTTTGTTTTTGGACAAGAGTTGACTCTCCACATATGGTCTGATGGGCCTTAATCACACTACACACATAGCACTTCCAAAAGACTGATGCAGGTTTTGGATGGTGTTTGTATCTTCCTTTCTATATGATACAGATGAATCTCCTACGAGTGTGCCCCTATATTGTTCCAAGATATATGAGGACTCGTCTAGGAAAAATTTTGCAAGTCACTCCACCACTTCAGTTTGGGATTTTAGCTAGATATGAGAGGAGGTTACATATCATGTCAGAAGTTAACATTTCTGTCATATGAAATGTGTTACCAACAGATACATCCTTTCACACTTCTCACCTTTACTCCCACCTTCTGGTGCATCTTTCTTGTCTAATCTAGGATAAGTCAACAATATAGACTTAGTCTTCACTGAGAGGCAGTATCGCATTCATACTAATGAAGAGTTGTTAAATGTTCATTTACATACAACAATGCAGAAATATCACATGGAAACACATGAGATTGGTGGAAGCCTCAAGGCTAGTGGCAAGTGAAAGAGTTTGTTTATAGAGGACAGCACTGAATCAGGACAAGCTAGATGTGAGGGAAGATGAGTATTGAAATTATATTTTCAGCATCGAAAAATGTGAATTTCATCTTATAGTTTTCAACTTTCATTTGCATAACCCTTAGAACCTCCTAGATGAATATCAAAAGTTATTTCCAATAAAAATTTATATTTGATTTGTTATTTTACTTACCCTAACATTATATGGGCTCAGTCTACTTTACTGAACTTGTAACCACAGTGAAAAAATGCAGAAGCCCTAAATTACCCTTTCTTTTCAGAATGGCTGCAGGTTGTAACAAAAATTACAGTTATTTATACTAGCCTTAAGCTTGTAACAGTCAACTATTTGTTTTTATTTAATCTTATTGTTTTGTTTTATTGCTCTTTCAACCAGACCTAACTAGTAAACATGGGTATAAAAGCTGTAAACATCTGACAATCAAATAACTCAAGCTATGGTAAAACAGAGTATTGAATTACCTAACTCGCATACATCTTGCATGCTTACCTCACTGAGAATTTTTTTTTCTTATCTAGCCCGAAAAGATTCTAATTTTGACATTTTACATAGTTTTATAACAATAAATAAAAAGATACACATAAACAACAAGAATTTTAGTACTTAGGTGTGGGTTTTGTACCATATTTGATATTGAAAATTTGAAGTGTCAGTAAAAGTTAACTTTAATTTTTGTTATGGTTATTGTTAGTAATTTATTTGTTTATTTAAAATATTCAGTTTAGAACACAAAATAATAACATTCACAAAGCATACAATGTTCTATAAATATTAGAATTTAAATGAGTTTCTAATATAAGTGCATCAAAATAGTTCCCTTAACTGGTCGAGTTGATCTCGGCCATAAAAACTTTGAATCTTTACAATGAATACTTCAATTCTTGTTGAAGAAACAACCTAGTGTTGTACATAAATAAATAATTTAAAATACTCTCTTTAAATTTGTTATAAATAGTACCAAACATCGGAGAGAATTATTGATAATTTTTGAAAGACAGTGGGTGGTGATAGGAGAGCATGGATGTGGATTGAACTTTCTGGTTTATCTTTAAGTAAAGCAAGATAATTGAAGACTATAAAGTTAGATTATATCTTAAAATTATCTGTACTGTTAGTTTTTAAATTGCATTAAAACTCAGAAGCTCCGATAAGGATGGAAAAATGTGAAACTTGGAGTGAACAAGTGTTGAATAATATATAAAACTGAAAATTTATTTAAATATATCCATATGAAACTAAAACATTAAAATGTTTATGATATTAAATTTTGACTTTGTTTTGATGACAAGTTTACATGTATTGGTAATAAAGTGGTATAATTCATCTTTCAATATAATTGTAAAAAAAAGTAAGAATATGCACTTTTACATAGGGTTAAAGTAGAAGCTTTTACTGAAAGTATATACTATATGTACTAAACATACAGTACTGAGGCACATTTAACTATATGTACTAAACATACGGTACTGAGACACGTTTAACTATATGTACTAAACATACGGTACTGAGACACGTTTAACTATATGTACTAAACATACGGTACTGAGACACGTTTAACTATATGTACTAAACATACAATACTGAGACACGTTTAACTATATGTACTAAACATACAGTACTGAGACACGTTTAACTATATGTACTAAACATACGGTACTGAGACACGTTTAACTATATGTACTAAACATACGGTACTGAGACACGTTTAACTATATGTACTAAACATG